GGGCTGTGCTTGAATCTTCATCGATACTATCTTCCGACTTCACGGGTTACCCCGCGAAGTCGTGTCCGATAGAGACCCCCGCTTCACAGCGGAGTTCTGGCAATCCGTGTTCCGTTCACTTGGAACATGTTTGACGATGTCAACTTCTGACCATCCAGAAACAGATGGTCATACGAAACGCGTCAACCGCGTCCTCGAATAGATACTTCGAGTGTATGTCCACTCCTTTACGAGCTGGAGTGAGTTCTTGCCGATGGCGGAATTCTCCATCAACATCTCGGTGCACGCGACGACAACGCATACTCCGTTCTTCGTGAATGGCCTACGCCATCCACGTTTACCTGCCTTCTTAGAGTGTGAATCTGGATTCAAGGGGGTGGACTCGCTCGAACAAAAACCGAAACTCTAGTTCTTGCTCATCACCCGTCTACAGTGGTGTCGACGTGATGGATGCCAACGTCGATGCGATCTATATCGATGATGATGATGACGAAGATGCTGGTAAATTCAGCATCGCCCCTGACTGCGACAGTGAGGACGATGAAACCCTCACTGGTGACGAAAACGTTCTTTCAGCAGTGCACACGAAGCGCACTGCTGTTGACAAAGATGAATCAGCAGATGAATTTCTGCTGACTCGCGAAGCGGTTTGTCCGCTTCGTTCAAGATTTTATTGCAGATGCACTGGACGGACAGAAGAGAAACGCAGACAAAAATGGAAGAGAAATTGTTCTTTCGTCCAATGAAGGAGATTTAGTTTTACATGCCTGCAGTAATCCACCAAAACATCGCAGTGACAAACGTGAGCGGCAGTAAATTACAGCCCAAGTATATCGGTCCATTTCGTTTGTTGCACCGAATGGTCAACGCAACGCATACACGATTGAATTGCCCCGTAAGATGCGTACGCATCCTACGTTTTACGTTGGACGTCTCTGCCCGTACTATCAGTACGAGCTCGTTTCGAGATGCGAAGAACGCCTCCGCGGTCGAGAGCCAAGACCGCCTTCGAGTGGTCCCGTTTCAACGAGCCAGTCTGGTCGACTAGCGAAGCGACCTGTTCACGCGGTTGAGCGATGTCCTGACGAGCTGCAGTTAGCTTGTAACGGAGAAAACAAATCGAAAGTTCGTTCTCAAGTTGCGCGAACGCAAACGCGACACGATCGTTCGAAAAATCGTGCGCTAAGAAATTGTAATTATCCTTTGCAAGGTCATGGAGCTCGTAACGCCGAGTCCGTTCATGATCCAGGTCATTGTACAGGTTACGTTACACGGTTCAGCTGCTGAACATCAAGCTGATCCGACCCTCGAGCCGGATCAGGTGTTTCCGCCGCCACCACATCCTTTGGTGGACTCAAGCGGTGGTCAATGCTTTCTGGTGGAGCGTATTGGAACCACCGCGACGTGAATGGCGTCCGGACGAGTTACCGCGTCCGCTGGCGTGGCTATCCACCGGCGTGAGACAGCTGGGAGCCTCGTGCCCAGCTGATTGTTGATGTCCTGAGTCTCGTCGAGCAATATGAAGAGACTCACCCGCTGCGTTCGAAGAATGGCCGTCGGAAAAATACCTCACCGAACGCGAGTACAGGGATTGCAAAGCGTCAATCCCTTCGGCCAAATCGGAAGAGATGCGCGCCCTCCAGTAGGGATCATTAGGGAGGTAGGTCTCCCTAGGGGAACGATTCGCATTGTCGAGGCAGCCTGGACACGAATCACCCCACGAGAGACAGGGTAATCCTGCCTCTCTTGACAGCCGGTGCAACTTGTATCGCGCCCCGACTGGGTTGCGCTTATCAAATATGATGCGAGCTGCATCAAGTTTACCGAGCCAGGCCTCACGGCCAATGCGCTCGATGTTATGGATGAGGGCATTCCATCCTTGCACCAAGGCCTTTCCGTCTCGAACACGGCTGCATTTGTACCACCGATGTTTGAAAAACGCATCGGTGAAGAATTCTTCCTCAGCCCGGATAGTTTCCGTGCTGGAATTAGGTGGGCAAATCTTCCCACGATCGAACAACGGGATTCGATCTCGATCGGTAATCATGCCGGCAAATTGGTCCAACTTCTTGGATGACGGCATCCAAGGAGACTCCATTTGAGGAGCGTGGCGCAGGACATTTTGGTCCCTGGCCTCTTGATTGATGTCAGCATGAGCACTGACACCAGTGACACATCGAGTTACTTCGCTCGTGGTGATGTATAGGTGCATCACCACCATCCCCTCGCGTCCTATCGCTGGATGGACTCGCGTGAGGCGAAGATTCGTCGTAACAATCGCTCGATTCGAAGATCTCGGACACGATACCGCCACGTTCACCGGAGCCAGTCAACCTGGCTCTTGCAGTGTCCGCCCCGGATTATCCGGGGGCGTGAGGTGTCGCCTTCGAGTAGGTGCATCATCCGACCCGCCGGGATAGATGAGCTCTATTTCAGACTCATCTACGTTGCGATTCGCAGTACCCGCTACAGACGCAGCGGATGTACCTGTCGCACGTGGTGAATTACCACGTGGACTGTTCACAGCAGCAGGCGACGAATTACTTGCTGCTGAGGTGTGAGAAGTACTCTCTCCGGATGCACGCATTCGTGCAGCCGCATTTCTTGCTGCTACAGTAGCAACTCGCTTGGATTTTGAAACCATGTGTTGGATTGGAAAATGAATGCTGTTTGACCAACAAGTGCTCCCTTTTCCAGAGTGATCCAACGGTGACCACCCTGTCCCAGTCAATTCTAATTCGATCAACGGGTTATTGATGGTTAAGGGGGGGTGATGTAACGGGGTATCCCGTTACATGATATTGACACCAAACGGTGTCGCTAGGAATATTGTCTAGCATCACAACATCCTACCAATATTATCCGAGATGGATAATGTTCAAGGAATATTATCCCCTTTTAGAATAATATTCATGCGTCGCCCGAAGATTGGTTGATAAAAGACATATCAGCCATAGATTGCCACCAATCGCTGCTAGACGCGCGTAATGAGTTGTGAGCAGGTTGTCGTCATACGACAACGTAGTTTGAAAAGTTAGATAAAGACTGAAGCTATTTGATAGCTAAACTATTTTAAATACAGTCCTCTTCTTACCGTTTACTCCGACAAGCTGTTTGCGTAGATTAGCTTCTTCTGCAAGTACTAGTGTACGTGAAGTTTCGTGGCACCCAGACAAAGGGTGCCCCGTTATAGACCGTGTGTGAGACTGGCTCACAAAAGCTTGACCAATAACGTCCTTCGACATGATTAGAGGATAGACGACTAGAACATTTGAACCACCGCAGTGATAAGAGCAAGAGACCTATCCTTTTAAACAGAAAGCGATTGTAAATGGGCAATCTCTGTCACAAAAAATTGGAGCACTACGTCTACGAATGTAGTGCTTCATGCCCCTGGGCGTGAAGCAAAGCTTCCTAAAACACTGAGCGAAGTGATAGACCGTCTGCCAAGAAGTGCAACGGACGCGGATTCGATGCTATTGCGAAGTCACAAAAGCGTGGCGGACGTCAAAAGACGGTCGAAATCAGTAGGAGCGGAGCTCCCTACTGATCCAGCAACCTCAATGGAGTGTGCACCCCCTTAAGTGAAAGTTGCTCTATAATCACAATCCTTGTGTGTCTCTGCACTTGGCGATGAGGTACCCCTCACCACCTTGAACTTGGAAGTGGAGAAATAATCTTCACTTCGTGCCTTAGTTGACTCTGAGACGTCGAATTTTTTTAGTAGCCAGTCGCAAGAGGATCGTCGGCTCAAGTTTGTTAAGCACAATATTTCTTTTACGACGATGACGGCGCGCCTAAAAAGGCGCATCGATAGCAGTGATAAAACGTGTAGTGGGATTACACTACACGCTGGGAGATTACCAGCACAATGAAAAATCATCGTAGTTATCTGGATGGCAAATTTAATGTTATCATTGTTGTAAAAGATACGCCTCGGCATGACCTTCCAGAAAAGTGTTCTGTAGCTCAGCCGGTTTGGTATGGCAGTAACATCCCAAAGGTCACTGGTTCGATACCGGTGGGGCGTGCAGACAAAACTGTTAAGCCTTCGGGATCTGGTGTTTGGGGTTCACCAGCACTGCCCTGACAGACAGTGACGTCCCCCACTTTCGGTACGTTTGGGTGTTTAGAAACGCATGACCAGAATTAGAAACGTACGACTAGACGATTAGTAATGCGCGATGTGGTGATTACTAATGCGCAACTAGACGATTAGTAATGTGCGATGTGACGATTACTAATGTGCTACTAGACGATTAGTGATGCGCGATATAGCGATTAGGAACGTATAGTCGTAGATTCAAGTAGGCTTAGAGTAGCAGCAGAGTTTGTGAACTAAGGACCTAAATATATTCACTTTGCATTTTACCAGCTTTGACCAACAACTTTAGGACATGAGCCCAAACCCTGTAAACTCTACCCAAGACCTCGACCAAGCTTTCTCCATGGACGCCATGCCGATCACCACCGCCCGCATCAACAGGTTCGCCGGAACAAACTTCCGTATGTGGAAGTTCAAGATGGAGATGGTGCTGGAGGAGCAAGATCTGTGGGATGTCGTGAGTGGGAAGGTGAAGCTTGAGCACTTCGTGTCGACATTGGACCAAGCAACGTTCAAGAGGAAGTTGCGTAAGGAACTGGCGATCATCTGCCTCGCAATGGAGGACTCGCAGTTTCCACTGGTGCGCTCGGCGGAGAATGCGTGTGATGCATGGTCGCGTCAGGAGGGACACTGCGAGAAGAAGAGCTTGGCTAATAAGCTCTTTCTTCGTCGCCGTTTCTTCAAGACAATGATGGTAGAAGGTGATGACGTGCTAGAGCACATCAACAAGCTCAAGACCCTGGCGGAGCAACTCGACGCGGTTGGTGCTCCGGTCAGCGAAGCCTAGTTTGTCATCACTCTTTTGGCCAGTCTCAGCGAGTCCTATCAGTTCCTAATCACGGCGCTGAAGTCAAGATCCGACTCGCTGACATGGGATTTAGAGACGTCTCGTCAGATGCATGAAGACCTTAAGCGCAAGGCGCAAGGTGGCGGAGTCGCTGTATCCGTGCATGGGCAAGCTCAAGCGTTCATGTCAAGAGACAACAAGCGAAACGGACGACCAGGTAAGAAGACTGGTGCGTGCCACATGTTAGGGAAACAAGGACATTGGATCGCGGAGTGCCCCTCGCGGATCCAAGAAGACGCGGAACGACAACGATTCCAGCGTGCGAACGTGGCGTAAGATGAAGATCTTGGCGACTATCTGTTTTCGGTTGGTGGTGAAGTCGCCAAGTCGAGCAACGTGTGGCTGGTCGACTCGGGCGCGACGCAGCACATGACAAGCTCCAAGAAGTTCATGAAGAACTACAAGGTCTTCAATCCGGTCGATGTGCACTTAGCAGACGATGGTGTCGTTCAAGCGATAGGAAAAGGCGACCTAGTGATGTCAATGAAGATGCCACGCGGGACCAAGAAAGGTGTGCTCACGGACGTGTGGCACATCCCGAAGCTATCGCGCAATCTGTCCTCCGTGGGAAAATTTACCAGGACGTCGGGCAAGTCACCTTTAAAACCAACGGATGCTTCGCGGAGACAAAGGGTGTCAAGTGAAAGCTCGGTGCTCGCTTAGGCAAAGGGGTTTTCTAACTCTGCATGACGTCAGAAGCGTCTAACGAGAAAACTTATCGATTCGAAGAGATCAAGAGTGGTCGTGTGCTGGTCAGCCGCGACGCACACTTTATGGAAGACGTCTTCGACAGTGGAAGACGCGACTACGTTAAAGCCGAAGTTGTTCTAGAAGATGAAGAAAGTTCAACGGATGAAGACTCATCGTGTTCCAACAAAGAAGAAGAAGAAAACGTGCGAGATAAAGACATGATTTTTGTGGCACTATACGTCGACGATTTGGTTATCGCGAGAAACAACGACGAGCTATTCAAGTCAACAAAAAAAGGCGCTGGGCGATCGTTTTGACATAAAGGATCTGGGAAACCTCAAGTATTTTCTCGGTTTGGAAGTTGATCAAGATTTCACGGTCGGCACAATCTCGATTCGTCAGTCCAAATTCGCGAAGGATATCCTCGATACATTTGGCATATAACATAACAATCCAGTTAAGACTCCAAAAGAACCCGGGCTAAAGCTGACAAAGTCCATGTGCGAAGGAGGATGCAAGCACGAAGACACGATGGCAAATGTTCCATATCGCAATGCTGTTGGATGCCTGATGTACCTCATGGTAGGGACTCGCCCGGATCTCGCAGCTGCAGTAGGAGTGCTCAGCCAGTTTGTAGCGGACCCTTGTCCGACACATTGGCAAGCACTCAAGCGCGTGTTCAGGTACGTACAAGGAACACAAACCCATGGGATTGAATTTCAAGCCACAAGCAATGACAAGCTTCAAGGCTACTCAGATGCAGACTGGGCTGGTGACGTGGAAACTCAACGAAGCACAAGTGGATATGTTTTCCTGTTGAACAATGGGTGTATCAGCTGGAGAAGCAAGAAACAGCGTACAGTGGCTCTATCGTCTACGGAAGCCGAGTACAAGGCGTTGACAGAAGCCACACAAGAAGCAGTATGGCTCAAGGCATTTTGTGTGAGAATGGTGAAATGAAGAACGACGAAGCAGTCAAGATCTATGAAGATAACCAAGGTTCAATTGCGTTGGCCAAGAACCCCGAGTTCCATAAAATAGTGAAGCATATCGACATCCGGTATCACTTCGTGCGCGAGAAGGTTGCAGACGGCCAAGTGTTGCTACAGTAATGCGCTACGAAGAACATGATAGCAGACCTCAAGACGAAGCCGATCCCCGCTGCGCAGTTCGAATATCTTCGGGGCATGCTGGGGAGTTAAGACGCCAAGGTCTGCCGAGTCGAGTGGGAGTGTCGTAAAGGATACTCCTCGGCATGACCTTCCAGAAAAGTGTTCTGTATCTCAGCCGGTTTGGTATGGCAGTAACATCCCAAAGGTCACTGGTTCGATACCGGTGGGGCGTGCAGACAAAACTGTTAAGCCTTCGGGATCTGGTGTTTGGGGTTCACCAGCACTGCCCTGACAGACAGTGACGTCCCCCACTTTCGGTACGTTTGGGTGTTTAGAAACGCATGACCAGAATTAGAAACGTACGACTAGACGATTAGTAATGCGCGATGTGGTGATTACTAATGCGCAACTAGACGATTAGTAATGTGCGATGTGACGATTACTAATGTGCTACTAGACGATTAGTGATGCGCGATATAGCGATTAGGAACGTATAGTCGTAGATTCAAGTAGGCTTAGAGTAGCAGCAGAGTTTGTGAACTAAGGACCTAAATATATTCACTTTGCATTTTACCAGCTTTGACCAACAACTTTAGGACATGAGCCCAAACCCTGTAAACTCTACCCAAGACCTCGACCAAGCTTTCTCCATGGACGCCATGCCGATCACCACCGCCCACATCAACAGGTTCACCGGAACAAACTTCCGTATGTGGAAGTTCAAGATGGAGATGGTGCTGGAGGAGCAAGATCTGTGGTATGTCGTGAGTGGGGAGGTGAAGCTTGAGCACTTCGTGTCGACATTGGACCAAGCAACGTTCAAGAGGAAGTTGCGTAAGGAACTGGCGATCATCTGCCTCGCAATGGAGGACTCGCAGTTTCCACTGGTGCGCTCGGCGGAGAATGCGTGTGATGCTTGGTCGCGGTTGGAGGGACACTTCGAGAAGAGGAGCCTGGCGAACAAGCTCTTTCTTCGTCGTCGTTTCTTTACGACCAGGATGGAAGAAGGTGATGATGTTCTCCAACACATCAACAAGATCAAGACGCTAGCGGAGCAGCTCGACGCGGTTGGTGCTCCGGTCAGCGAAGCCTAGTTTGTCATCACTCTTTTGGCCAGTCTCAGCGAGTCCTATCAGTTCCTAATCACGGCGCTGAAGTCTGTTAGCGAGTGATGATGCGGCGACTTGTGCAGGGTGTATATTGCATATTTGCATTAGTTGTATTGTTCTTTGGCAGGTTTATATTGTGGGATGTTAGCGAAACGACAAGTCATCGGATTGGCTCAGTCGTTTGGGAAGGGGGATTCCACGCGGGTGAGTGCGGGTTCGATCCCCGCCGTGTACAAGTTAATTGTGACTGACACTCACGACCTGGTGTTTGGGGTTCACCAGAACTGTGACCCGCCCGCAGTTACGTCCCCCCACCCACGCAATCGTTTTCATTCAGCATATGACACAGCAGAGTTTTTACGAAAGGTATTTACGAGACGTAATTACCCAGTGATAGGTAAAACAGAAAGCGGTGGAGACAGGGCAACAAATCGGTGGCTGAGAGTCACCGGCTACTACTAGCCATTCGTTTTCGAAGCTAGGAACAATTTGAATACAACTTACTTTTCGGTTTTCATCCCCAGCCGTAAGCCATCTTCTTCTTAACGACAACTCCATAACCTACGTAAATCAACAGGTTATGAGCCCAAGCAACGACTCCGGTTTCAAGATTGAGCCTTTTTTTCGACGGCTCCAATTATGGGTTGTGGAGCTACAAGATGAAGATGTATTTGATGTCCAAGGGATTGTGGGGCGTGATCGCGGGCGACGAGACAACAAGTGTGGCCAAGGAACAGCAAGCCCACGCCGCGATCGTGCTGAACCTCAGCGACTCGCAGTTGATGCATGTCATTGACTCGGCTACTGCGAGAGAGGCATGGGGAAGGTTGGCGCAATTTCATCGCTCTCAAGACATGGCGAACCGGCTATGGCTCAAGGAGAAGTTTGCTTCGTTTTCGTACACGGCATCAAGTATGAGCAGTCACGTCACGGAGATGGAAGACCTCGTGATGCAGTTGAAGCGCGCGAACTGCGGTCCGAGTGAAGAGGACGTGTGCGCAGTACTGTTGCGGAGTCTACCTTCAAGCTTCGAGAGCTTGGTGCAGGCATTCCGCATGTCCGTCGCAAGCTTCAGTTTCAGTGACCTCGTGAGCAAGTTGATCGCCGAAGAAGTGCGCCAGAATGATGCTGCACGGGTAGAAGATGCGACGGCGCTCTACGCAGGCAAGAGGAAGGGTAAGCAGTACCCGAAGAAGCAACAAGTACGGCGCGCGAAGCGACCATCAGGAACCTGCTATAACTGCGGTAAGGTCGGACACTACGCAAGGGACTGTCGCTCAAGTCGAGGTCCAAGAGAGCAAGTCGAACGTCGCATTCAACGCCTGTGAAGGGTTTGAAAGCGACAGCTGGGTCATGGACAGTGGTGCGTCGGCACACATGTGCAAGGATCGTGAAGCGTTTGAAGAGTACAAGGAAGTGCATCATGTGCGCGGTATTTCAAGCGCGAAGAGTGATGTAAAGTTGAAAGTCATCGGCCACGGGACGGTGAAGCTGCGCGTCTGGACTGGGCATGCGTGGATTGATGCTCGCCTCGAGAACACGCTCCACGTACAAGATTTAACGAAGAATCTGTTTTCACTCACGGCTACGGCAGCTCGTGGTATGACAGTCGAGATCACACGCAATGAGTGCGTGGTGAAGCGTGATGGGACACCAGTCGCTACTAAGAGGAAGCAGGGCTTCCTAATGTAACTGAATACTGATGCCAATGCGGAGTGCCACGTTGTCGAAGAGACGACCGAGCTGTGGCACCGAAGATTGGGTCACGCATCGTATGACACATTAAACGCCATGGTCAAGGAGGGAAGAATCAAGGACGCAAAGATGAAGCCAAACAGCGTGTGTGACGTATGTGCAACGTCAAAGCAAGTGCGCAAGTCATTCAAGACCAATGATAGAGATGACGAAGCCAGGGAGAGTTCGCGTTCGGACGTGGTGGTGTGTTCTGACGTTCTCGGACCGATAACGCCATCGTCCAAGTCCGGTTTCAAGTATATCGTGAGTTTCATCATGATGAAGAGCCGGTACGTGACGGTCTATCCGTTGCGAAAGAAGAGCGAAGTTGCAAGTGCGTTCAAGCGGTTTTACCAGGATATCAAGACAGCATCTGGAACGAAGATAAAGGTGTTGCGAAGTGACAACGGCGGCGAATACCGGAACGAAACCATGAACAACTTTTGCAAGGCAAAGTTCATCAAGCAAGAGTTCACGGTTCCGTACAATCCCAAGCAAAATGGGATGGCAGAGCGGATGAACCGCACGCTCGTGGAGATGAAGCGCTGTATGCTCAAGGAAAGCGGCCTCGACAAGTCCTATTGGTGCGAGGCACTAATGACAGCGGCAGACATCAGAAACATTCTGCCGAACGCGTCGAACAAGAACTCAAGCCCACACGAAATGGTGTTCAAGAAGGTTCCGCGCATCGATCACATGCGCGTGTTTGGTGCGCAATGCTATGCGCATGTGGCGAAGGAGAAGAGAAAGAAGCTGGACGACTCAGGCGTGCGATGTTTCTTTCTCGGCTATGAGAAGGACCAAAAGGCGTATCGGCTTCTCAACGCGGACGATGGCTCGATCGTGATTTCAAGAAGCGTCACGTTCGCTGATCATTCTGCCTCGAAAGCATCGAAAAGCAGAGACACGCAGGTCTTCGATGTCATTGAAGAAGATGAAAGTGTGGAGGCGTCGCTAACCGATGATGAAGACATACCAGCGCCGGTGACCGAAGAAGAGCTGCGCACCCCACCACTTCGAGCGCAGAACAGCTCTCATCACGGACCAAGTGTTCGACCAAGCGACACCATTCCAACGCGCGCATCCAGCACACCCGGACGAGATGGAGAAGAAGAGTGGATGGTGCGACCGGTTCGAAAGAAACGCGGCGTGGTTCGCTACGAACAAGAATTTCCAAGCCATCGTCGCGGTCGCTTCAATTTGGACGACTACGAAGGTGACTTCGACTCTTTCTACTGTTTCTCGGCTGAAGAAGATGGGGAACAAGCGTCCAGCTATCGAGAAGTGATGAAGAGCGGCTACAAGGAGCAGTGGCTCCAGGCAATGAAGAGTGAGATGAAGTCGCTTGAAGAACACAGCACATGGAAGCTAATGGACATGCCACCGGGCAAGAAGGCCGTTGGCTGCAAGTGGGTCTTCAAGATTAAACGCGATCCAAGTGGCGAGATCATCAAGTTCAAGGCACGCTTGGTTGCGAAAGGGTTCACGCAGCGTCCTGGCATCGACTATAACGAGACGTTTGCACCAGTGGCGCGCAAGGAATCTATCAACACAGTGTTGGCGATCGCTGCAGCCGAAGACCTGGAAGCAGAAAACGTCGATGTTGACACAGCGTTCCTCTACGGTGATGTGGAAGAAGAGATCTACATGGACCAACCTGACGGTTTTGAAGATGAAGAAAGCCCGACAAAGAAGTGTTTGTTGCAGAAGGCACTCTATGGGACCAAGCAAGCGGCACGTCAGTGGAACAGCAAGTTGAATCGCCATTTAGAAGATCAAGGATTCAAGAGCAGTACGGCTGACCCGTGTGTGTTCGTTCGAATGGCTGAAGAGGAGTATAGCATCATCGTGATCTACGTGGACGACTTGATGATATTCTGCAAGACGAAGGAGCACATCACGAGTATCAAGAATGCACTGAACGAAGAATTCAGCATTAAAGATCTTGGGGATCTCAAGTACTGCCTCGGGATCGAAATTCATCGCAAGCGTGAAGAACGCGTTATCAAGATGAATCAAACGGCATACATCAAGCGACTTTCGGAGAAGTTTGGCGTTGATAACTGCAAGGACATGCACACGCCGGCGGACAGTAATTCGAAGCTGATCAAGATGCGTCAAGATGAAGCTTTTGTCCCCAAGTACCCGTATCGCGAGCTTGTGGGTGCATTAATGTACATCGCCACATGTACGCGACCGGACATCGCGCACGCGGTTGGCGAAGTTGCAAAACATTGCGAGCGCTACAACAAGTCTCACTGGACAGCAGCAAAGCGGATTCTCAAGTATCTCAAGACGACTCAAGACATGAGCATCGTGTTTAGCGGCATCAACAAGGGAGAGCTGATTGGCTTTGCGGATGCGAATTGGGCTGGCGACCTCGATACGCGGCGATCAACAACAGAATACGTTTTCGTTTTGAACGGGAGCGCGATATCGTGGAACTCGAAGCGCCAGCCAACCGTCGCGACCTCAAGCACCGAGGCAGAGTACATGAGTCTGTACAACGCGACGCAGGAAGCTATTTGGCTTCAAAGTCTGCTCAAGGACCTGGTGTATGGTACCAAGGTGTCGACGACGATTTTTCAAGACAATCAAGGATGCATCGCGCTGGCCAAGAATCCTGTATATCACTCGCGCACGAAGCACATCGACATCAAGTTTCGCTTTCTGCGTGAAAAGGTTGCAAGTGCAGTTATCGCGCTAGAGTTCAAGCCGACAGAAGAAATGGTCGCGGATGGATTCACCAAAGCACTTCCAAGAGACAAGCACAGCAAGTTCATCACGGGTCTGTGCATGGCGGTGTAGGGGTCACACGTCGCACGCACATCAAGGGAGAGTGTTAGCGAGTGATGATGCGGCGACTTGTGCAGGGTGTATATTGCATATTTGCATTAGTTGTATTGTTCTTTGGCAGGTTTATATTGTGGGATGTTAGCGAAACGACAAGTCATCGGATTGGCTCAGTTGTTTGGGAAGGAGGATTCCACGCGGGTGAGTGCGGGTTCGATCCCCGCCGTGGTCAAGTTAATTGTGGCTGACACCTACGACCTGGTGTTCGGGGTTCACCAGAACTGTGACCCGCCCGCAGTTACGTCCCCCCACCCACGCAATCGTTTTCATTCAGCATATGACACAGCAGAGTTTTTACGAAAGGTATTTACGAGACGTAATTACCCAGTGATAGGTAAAACAGAAAGCGGTGGAGACAGGGCAACAAATCGGTGGCTGAGAGTCACCGGCTTCTTATGGCCATTCGTTTTGAGATAACAAACTATTCAAAATACAACTCACTTTTCGGTTTTCATCCCCGGCCGTAAGCCATCTTCTTCTTCTCATCAGCTCCGCAACCTGGTTAATTCTAACAAAGTCAAGATCCGACTTGCTGACATGGGATTTAGAGACGTCTCGTCAGATGCATGAAGACCTTAAGCGCAAGGCGCAAGGTGGCGGAGTCGCTGTATCCGTGCATGGGCAAGCTCAAGCGTTCATGTCAAGAGACAACAAGCGAAACGGACGACCAGGTAAGAAGACTGGTGCGTGCCACATGTTAGGGAAACAAGGACATTGGATCGCGGAGTGCCCCTCGCGGATCCAAGAAGACGCGGAGCGACAACGATTCCAGCGTGCGAACGTGGCGTAAGATGAAGATCTTGGCGACTATCTGTTTTCGGTTGGTGGTGAAGTCGCCAAGTCGAGCAACGTGTGGCTGGTCGACTCGGGCGCGACGCAGCACATGACAAGCTCCAAGAAGTTCATGAAGAACTACAAGGTCTTCAATCCGGTCGATGTGCACTTAGCAGACGATGGTGTCGTTCAAGCGATAGGAAAAGGCGACCTCGTGATGTCAATGAAGATGCCGCGCGGTACCAAGAAAGGTATGCTCACGGACGTGTGGCATATCCCGATGAAATCGCGTAATCTATTACCCGTGGGTAGATTCACTTAGGACGTCGGGCCAGTCACCTTTAAAACCAACGGATGCTTCGCGGAGAAGAAAGGTGTCAAGTGGTAGCTCGGTGCTCGCGAAGGCAAAGGGGTTTTCTAACTCTGCATGACGTCAGAAGCGTCTAACGAGAAAACTTATCGATTCGAAGAGATCAAGAGTGGTCGTGTGCTGGTCAGCCGCGACGCACACTTTATGGAAGACGTCTTCGACAGTGGAAGACGCGACTACGTTAAAGCCGAAGTTGTTCTAGAAGATGAAGAAAGTTCAACGGATGAAGACTCATCGTGTTCCAACAAAGAAGAAGAAGAAAACGTGCGAGATAAAGACATGATTTTTGTGGCACTATACGTCGACGATTTGGTTATCGCGAGAAACAACGACGAGCTATTCAAGTCAACAAAAAAAGGCGCTGGGCGATCGTTTTGACATAAAGGATCTGGGAAACCTCAAGTATTTTCTCGGTTTGGAAGTTGATCAAGATTTCACGGTCGGCACGATCTCGATTCGTCAGTCCAAATTCGCGAAGGATATCCTCAAGAAATTTGGCATAAAAGCAATTCAGTCAAGACTCCACAAGAACCCGGACTAAAGCTGACAAGGTCAATGTGCGAAGGACGAAGACACGATGGCAATGTGCCATATCGCAATGCTGTTGAATGCCTGATGTATCTCATGGTAGGAACTCGCCCGGATCTCGCTGCTGCAGTGGGAGTGCTTAGCCAGTTTGCAGCGGACCCTTGTCCAACACATTGGCAAGCACTCAAGCGCGTGTTCAGGTATGTCAAAGGCACACGAACCCATGGGATTGAATATCAAGCTACAAGCATCGACAAGCTTCAAGGCTACTCGGATGCAGACTGGGCAGGCGATGTGGAATCTCGACGCAGCACAAGTGGATACGCGTTCCTGTTGAACAATGGGTGTATCAGCTGGAGAAGCAAGAAACAGCGTACAGTGGCTCTATCGTCTACGGAAGCAGAGTACATGGCGTTGACAGAAGCCACACAAGAAGCAGTGTGGCTCAAGGCATTTTGTGTGAGCTTGGCGAGACGAAGAACGACGAAGCAGTCAAGATCTTTGAAGATAACTAAGGTTCCATTTGCGCTGGTCAAGAACCCCGAGTTCCATAAAATAGTGAAGCATATCGACATCCGGTATCACTTCGTGCGCGAGAAGGTTGCAGACGGCCAAGTGTTGCTACAGTAATGCGCTACGAAGAACATGATAGCAGACCTCAAGACGAAGCCGATCCCCGCTGCGCAGTTCGAATATCTTCGGGGCATGCTGGGGAGTTAAGACGCCAAGGTCTGCCGAGTCGAGTGGGAGTGTCGTAAAGGATACTCCTCGGCATGACCTTCCAGAAAAGTGTTCTGTAGCTCAGCCGGTTTGGTATGGCAGTAACATCCCAAAGGTCACTGGTTCGATACCGGTGGGGCGTGCAGACAAAACTGTTAAGCCTTCGGGATCTGGTGTTTGGGGTTCACCAGCACTGCCCTGACAGACAGTGACGTCCCCCACTTTCGGTACGTTTGGGTGTTTAGAAACGCATGACCAGAATTAGAAACGTACGACTAGACGATTAGTAATGCGCGATGTGGTGATTACTAATGCGCAACTAGACGATTAGTAATGTGCGATGTGACGATTACTAATGTGCTACTAGACGATTAGTGATCCGCGATATAGCGATTAGGAACGTATAGTCGTAGATTCAAGTAGGCTTAGAGTAGCAGCAGAGTTTGTGAACTAAGGACCTAAATATATTCACTTTGCATTTTACCAGCTTTGACCAACAACTTTAATCATATGGCTACACTAGCTTAAAAAGTACAAATTTAGGGTCAGCTAATAGCACCGAAACGTGCAGATGCAGGTCATTTTTTCATCAGATGGCCACCTGATGAAAGTATCGGAGCGTCCGCGAACATGATTATGTACTACAAGTGAGTACGATGACCTTACTCGTGCTACAGTCATTATTAAGACTGCACAAAATCACTTTGTGAAAACCATTCACACTGTGGAGAAAGCTGCCCGCGGCTGTGCGGATGCACAGGCAGTGCCAAAGGCCCACCACTCAAACAAGATAGTAGATCTGGTCGTGGTTGTATACCTAGCGAGAGACACCCGAGAATGAACAAACCGATGCTCGTACAAGGTCACACGATTATCGTAGCTATATTTAAGAGCCGACCACAGAGGACCTGATTGTGGTCGCGCTACTACATCTGGATGACGTCGTGGGAATCTACCCCCACGTTCCTACAGAGGACAATACTGATTCAGGTTTTGATGAGGTAAGAAAAACTCATTAACCTGATGAAAAAATAAGTCCTCTACAGCCTTTGGTAAAGGTTCCCCGGAAAAAGCTGAGATATTAAATGTTTTGGTTAGTGATGGAATTTTTGTAGGTGCTTTACAGTTAATCTAATTGCGCCTCCGAAGTTGACTTCGGAGATCACACAATTGCCAACTCTAGAACCGAAACAATCTTTGTGAAATTTGCGCAGGGGCAAGGTCAAGCAGATCTGTGTAATCGTTACGGAGGACAAGTACATGACCGAAATCCGGTCAGCAGTAGTCTTTGCCGAGAAGACCGGAATTTAGCATTCCATCTATGGACGAAAGTATCCTCGATTAAAAGACTCGGATTGAGCAATACTGCCCCAATCTTGGAAGTTGCTTAATGAAGAGCCTTTCTTTGAGGATTTAATAGAATTGTAGGAAGTATTCCCTGAATACGTACCACGCGGAAAAGCCTAAGGATAATTGCATTCGACATAAGATCGAATTGAAACCTGGATCGAAATACTGTATCGTAAATCAGTGGACACTGCCACGTGAACAAGTACTAGCGATCGACAAGTTCTTTACCGATCGCTCAGCTGCTGGTCATGTGAGGGAATCAACATCCCCACACAGCTCTCCGACCTTCTGTGTGCGAAAGGCCACAGGAGGGTGGCGGGTAGTGCATGCATTTAACAAGTTGAACACTGCAACGGTACCGGCTCAAACGCCGATCCCAAGAAAGGACGTCATCATAGATGGTATGGCAAAGAGTACCATTTTTTCGTCCATGGATCTGATGGATGGATTCTATCAGATCATAATGCGTGAATGGGACATCCCGTACAAAGAAGTGAGCGGCCTCAGCGATATGCTTTGGGAATGGCTAGTGATGACACAGGGGCTAAGTAACACCACCGCAACGTTTGACAGATGTGTCACGAATCTGTTGCGATCGGTGCGCGTTCTCGCACCGAGTTACTTTAGCGATGTCTTCGTCCATTGCCAGGCTTTGGGCGGAAAGACGGATGTAGAGGTTCATAGATCCACGTCCGGAAGGTTCTAACTCTAATGCGAGAGCATATGTTGTTCGCGAACCTCAAGAAGTGTATATTCGCAACGAACGAAATGCCACTTCTTGGCTGCATCGTGTGTACGCCCTGATCCGGAAAGTATCAAGGCGACTGGCGACTGGCCTGTGCCAGTCAACGTCAAGGGACTTCTAAAGCTCCTTGGCTTGGCAGCGTACTTGCACAAATACTAGCGCAACTACCCCGAGATGACCGTATCTCTCTCGTCTATTAAAATGAGAGTGTGAAGTGGTAATAAAGAACTGATTTACAGAGTTCCTACAAAGGTTTTAAGCAGAGCTTGTTGAAATTGCTCATATTGGTGATTGCATACCAAGACAGACCATTTTACGTGGGACGCCAGCAATTGTGCAACCGGCTGCGCGTCAACACAATAAGATGCAGACAAAACAGAGTGCGTCGTATGTTATCAATCGCGTCAGCTGAAAGCAGATAAGTGCAATTATCCAGTGCAAGTTATGGAAATTTTTGCCAGGAAATTTTACGGGTGAATTTTTGCGTCCATCTCCTTGGAGATAGGCCGTTTGTAGTCGATACGAATTATGCGTCTTTAGCGACGGCCGTAAACATCCCGCACATCTCGCAAAAGATGACGAGGTTGCTGCCCTCCTTTGTGGAGTGCAGCTATTCGTGGAGTAAAAACCGGAACGACTTAATGTCAGCGCGGACGCGTAATCGCGTCAACTCAATTTCGAGTCGACTGAGTAGTATAGAGGTTGAGATAGCCCCAATGTTGCGACGCTAGTCACGTCGTCGACATTTCTTGACGACATAAGAAAGGAAAATGAAGAATGCAGCTCGCGGGTGTCTGGTGGCTCCATCTTGTAGATCTCTCTAAGATTTTTCGGCCTGGAATCGATATTCTGGTGGTGGACACACAAAATGCAACGGGTTGCTAATTATACAGCATTTGCCGGCGACACACCTCGTGTCGTCGTCCCTACTCATAATAATTTGCGCTTCCGCCTCTTACATAAGTGCCATGATTTATCAACCCGTGGTCATTGTGCTAGGGAAAAGACTTAATCATAAGTACCATGGTGCATCAACATGTGGTCATTGTGCTAGGGAAAAGACTTATCTCATAAGTACCCTGATGCATCAACATGTGGTCATTGTGCTAGGGAAAAGACATATCTCATGTTATGTCGCAATTTTTATCTTCCATGCCAGTATCATTTGATGCGCAAGTAAATTCGTACTTTTGAAGTGTGCCAACCGGTGAAGCCTAGTCCTTCATCCCGGCACCACTATGGCCGCTAACAACTTCGTCAGAGCGCTGGCAGTCCGTCCCGATGGACTTCGAATTCGGTTTCCCGGCAACGTTTACAAAAAAATGGTTTTTTTATGTATACCGATTTAGCAATAATGTACAACTTGCTGCAGTCAATGATATATTCTCAGCACATGGTTGTTTCCGTGTCTTTATTGACACGGTATTCCAACTTCACTGTCTACCAGTGAACTAGTCTCTGTAGAGATCCTCAGTTCACGGCCGCGGTTTGTTAATCCGTGTTCTAATCCCTCGGAACAAGTCTGGCTATGACTACTGCTGACCATCCCGAGACTAATGGTCAGACAGAACGCATTATATGCTCCCTCCAATTAGATAACCTGAGAATGTGTCCAATCCTTCACAGATTGGAGTGAAATTTTGCTGATGGTGGGGTTTGCAATCATCAACTCGTTTCATGCGTCGACAGCACATAAACCACTTTTCGTGAAAGGCTTATGCCACCACGCCAATATCCCATTAAAGTGTAATTCTGGTTCTAAGTGGGGAAGCATGCGCTAGAGCAAAAACTGTTCTGGCTATTGATCATCACTTATCGAGGTTCATGACTACGCGAACTTGTTGATGTCGATCAAATCTACATCGAAAAGGGTGACCTTTGTAGTGGTGACGATGGTATTGTGGAACCGGATGAGGGTGACGATGCTGGTGTATTTAACATCGCCAATAATTATAAAAACCATGATGAGAACACCCTCGCTGAAGAAGAAGATGACCTTATAGCGGTGCGCATAAGACGCACTTCGACGAACCAAATTGAGTCAGAAGAAGATATCCTACAGACACGAGAAACAGTAGTCCGCTTCGTACAAGACTACATTGCCAACGCGGTGGAATGGCATAAGCGTGAGGCTGACAAACACGGAAGAGAAAGCGTTCTTCTATTTCATGTTGAAAATTTAGTAATACTGTCTACAGTAAAACTACCTAAGTGCGTACCAACTAATGTGGTTAGTCGAAATACTACTTACGTAGATCGGAATGGATCGTAAATTACATCGCAAAGACAATTCGTGCACGATTGCGTTGCCTTGCAGAATGCGTACGCATCCTACATTTTAAGCCGGTTGTCTCCGCTTGTACTATTAGCACGAGGTCTTTATCTCAGGCACATAAAACCTCCACGTTCAAGACCCTCCTGGAGGTTCTTTTAATCCTAAGCCATCCTTTCAATCCGACTTTATAACGTAACTAACCCACTTTGTTGCGAAGGCTTAACGCTTCCGCTAGCTCTCTAATTGGTAGAGCGCGAACTACAATCGGTCGTATGAATGACAAAGGCAGATGCGTTGCACCCAAACTTTCAATGAGAGACGCTCACGTCTCTCCTGCTCGGTGCGATCACACAGATCGTGTAAGCCTTTCTGGATACGACCAACCTCCGCCTGTAACTCGAACCAACTATTCAAAGTTGATTTTCTTGCCCCAAGACAGCCATTGGTAGACTCGCACGGGGTCAACGATTTCACGTGAAGCGTATCTTGAGCCACCTCGTGGTAAAGGTGCAGCAAACGAGTTAGTTTTTCGTTGGCGCGGCTATCCGCCGTCGTACGACAGCTGGGGGCCTCGCGCCCAGCTGATGGATTGCGCTGAGGGTCTCGTCCACCAGTAAGACGCAACACATCCGATGGCTCAGGGGGCCATCGGAAAACACGCGCACATGGCGCTGGTAGATCGATTGCAGGTAATCAGTTGCATCGCGCATCCCAGAAGAGATGTTCGCTCTTCCATAGGGCGAAGAAAGGGATCATTCCTCCCTTTGGATGCGCTGCGTATCGTAGAAAAAAAAGGAAATGGTTGGCCCCACCGAGGCAAGGATTTCTTGCCTCACGAGACACATGATGCAGCCTAAGTTTTTTAACAGTAAAGGTTCGCTTATCTAACCTAACACGATATTGGTAAGTTTTTGAATCCGAGTTTCGCGCCCAATGTGCTGCACATCGAGCATAAAATTCTCCCAGGCCTGCAGCAACGAGCTCTTGTCTCGCTTAGTGTTGCCGTTATAGCAACGATGCTTCAAAAAAGCATTCGGATAAAAGTCTTATTCAGAGCGGAAGTTAATCGCGATGATGTCGAGGCCGTGCAACAATCTCGGATCCAGTAATGGGATTCGACAATAAAGTCTTGTCTCGCCTGACAGGTCATTCTAACAAATCTTTATGCTTAATCAAGCTTTTGTTCAGGGGATAGATGCAGTCCACTGCCGTCTAGAGCCTCCTAATTGATACTGACGGAAGTCTTGGTACCACTAGAATCGTCATCACGACAGTACAAGTCTCACCGCATTAGCAAGACGGCGAATGCGAAGTAGCGGGCGCGAGAAATGAGTCAATATGCTCATTCTCTGCGCTAAACAAACTATTGTAGTGACACTGATTCTAATTGCCCGCTCGAGTCCTTTTCATAGCCTCATATTCAGCCACCCCTATAGGTTCAGGCGACCTAAGTGTTTCCTTCGAGTCGGAACCACCGTCCGAATTCCCCGAATAGATGAGCTACACTTAAGAGTAATCATCATTAGTACGTGGTGACATACCACGTGTCTCTGCAGCAACTGGTGCTGCAAGAAAATTTGGAGCGGCAGCAGACGAAGAATCGTCTGCCACGAGATGTTAAGCATCGTCAAGATCAGCTGCGATAAAAGTCAAACTGCCTTTTTAGCAGCTCCTGCCGCACATCACATTAATTTGCTTACCATACGATAAAGATTTAAAAATGAATGAATCGGATCAAACAAGTGCTCCCTATCCCGGATATGGTCTAACGATGACAACGTAAGCATGATAGTGATCGAGTGACTATCGTTTAAGAGGTTATTGTGATGGGGTACCGTTTGTTCGGGGTGCCGCGAAACTTCACGTACACTAGTACGTGCAGAGGAAGCTAATCTACTCAACAACTTGTCTGAGTAAACGGTAAGAAGAGGACTGTATTTAAAATAGTTTAGCTATCAAATAGCTTCAGTCTTTATCTAACTTTTTCAAACTACGTTGTCGTATGACGACAACCTGCTCACAACTCATTACGCGCGTCTAGCAGCAATTGGTGGTAATCTATGGTTGATATGACTTTCATCAACCAATCTTCGGGCGACGCATGAATATTATTCTAAAAGGGGATAATATTCCTTGAACATTATCCATCTCGGATAATATTGGTAGGATGTTGTGATGCTAGACAATATTCCTAGCGACACCGTTTGGTGTCAATATCATGTAACGGGATACCCCGTTACATCACCCCCCCTTAACCATCAATCACCCGTTGATCGAATTAGAATTGATTGGGACAGGGTGGTCACCGTTGGATCACTCTGGAAAAGGGAGCACTTGTTGGTCAAACAGCATTCATTTTCCAATCCAACACATGGTTTCAAAATCCAAGCGAGTTGCTACTGTAGCAGCAAGAAATGCGGCTGCACGAATGCGTGCAGCCGGAGAGAGTACTTCTCACACCTCAGCAGCAAGTAATTCGTCGCCTGCTGCTGTGGACAGTCCACGTGGTAATTCACCACGTGCGACAGGTACATCCGCTGCGTCTGTAGCGGGCACTGCGAATCGCAACGTAGATGAGTCTGAAATAGAGCTCATCTATCCCGGCGAGTCGGATGATGCACCTACTCGAAGGCGACACCTCACGCCCCCGGATAATCCGGGGCGGACACTGCAAGAGCCAGGTTGACTGGCTCTGGTGAACGTGGCGGTATCGTGTCTGAGATCTTCGGATCGAGCGATTGTTACGACGAATCTTCGCCTCACGCGAGTCCATCCAGCGATAGGACGCGAGGGGATGGTGGTGATGCACCTATACATCACCACGAGCGAAGTAACTCGATGTGTCACTGGTGTCAGTGCTCATGCTGACATCAATCAAGAGGCCAGGGACCAAAATGTCCTGCGCCACGCTCCTCAAATGGAGTCTCCTTGGATGCCGTCATCCAAGAAGTTGGACCAATTTGCCGGCATGATTACCGATCGAGATCGAATCCCGTTGTTCGATCGTGGGAAGATTTGCCCACCTAATTCCAGCACGGAAACTATCCGGGCTGAGGAAGAATTCTTCACCGATGCGTTTTTCAAACATCGGTGGTACAAATGCAGCCGTGTTCGAGACGGAAAGGCCTTGGTGCAAGGATGGAATGCCCTCATCCATAACATCGAGCGCATTGGCCGTGAGGCCTGGCTCGGTAAACTTGATGCAGCTCGCATCATATTTGATAAGCGCAACCCAGTCGGGGCGCGATACAAGTTGCACCGGCTGTCAAGAGAGGCAGGATTACCCTGTCTCTCGTGGGGTGATTCGTGTCCAGGCTGCCTCGACAATGCGAATCGTTCCCCTAGGGAGAACTACCTCCCTAATGATCCCTACTGGAGGGCGCGCATCTCTTCCGATTTGGCCGAAGGGATTGACACTTTGCAATCCCTGTACTCGCGTTCGGTGAGGTATTTTTCCGACGGCCATTCTTCGAACGCAGCGGATGAGTCTCTTCATATTGCTCGACGAGACTCAGGACATCAACAATCAGCTGGGCACGAGGCTCCCAGCTGTCTCACGCCGGTGGATAGCCACGCCAGCGGACGAGGTAACTCGTCCGGACGCCATTCACGTCGCGGTGGTTCCAATACGCTCCACCAGAAAGCATTGACCACCGCTTGAGTCCACCAAAGGATATGGTGGCGGCGGAAACACCTGATCCGGCTCGAGGGTCGGATCAGCTTGATTTTCAGGAGCTGAACCGTGTAACGAAACCTGTACAATGACCTGGATCATGAACGGACTCGGCGTTACGAGCTCCATGACCTTGCAAAGGATAATTACAATTTCTTAGCGCACGATTTTTCGAACGATCGTGTCGCGTTTGCGTTCGCGCAACTTGAGAACGAACTTTCGATTTGTTTTCTCCGTTACAAGCTAACTGCAGCTCGTCAGGACATCGCTCAACCGCGTGAACAGGTCGCTTCGCTAGTCGACCAGACTGGCTCGTTCAAACGGGACCACTCGAAGGTGGTCTTGGCTCTCGACCGCGGAGGCGTTCTTCGCATCTCGAAACGGGCTCGTACTGATAGTAGGGGCAGAGACGTCCAACGTAAAACGTAGGATGCGTACGCATCTTACGGGGCACTTCAATCGTGTATGCGTTGCGTTGACCATTCGGTGCAACAAACGAAATGGACCGATATACTTGGGCTGTAATTTACTGCCGCTCACGTTTGTCACTGCGATGTTTTGGTGGATTACTGCAGGCATGTAAAACTAAATCTCCTTCATTGAATGAAAGGACAATTTCTCTTCCATTTTTGTCTGCGTTTCTCTTCTGTCCGTCCAGTGCATCTGCAATAAAATCTTGAACGAAGCGGACAAACCGCTTCGCGAGTCAGCAGAAATTCATCTGCTGATTCATCTTTGTCAACAGCAGTGCGCTTCGTGTGCACTGCTGAAAGAACGTTTTCGTCACCAGTGAGGGTTTCATCGTCCTCACTGTCGCAGTCAGGGGCGATGCTGAATTTACCAGCATCTTCGTCATCATCATCATCGATATAGATCGCATCGACGTTGGCATCCATCACGTCGACACCACTGTAGACGGGTGATGAGCAAGAACTAGAGTTTCGGTTTTTGTTCGAGCGAGTCCACCCCCTTGAATCCAGATTCACACTCTAAGAAGGCAGGTAAACGTGGATGGCGTAGGCCATTCACGAAGAACGGAGTATGCGTTGTCGTCGCGTGCACCGAGATGTTGATGGAGAATTCCGCCATCGGCAAGAACTCACTCCAGCTCGTAAAGGAGTGGACATACACTCGAAGTATCTATTCGAGGACGCGGTTGACGCGTTTCGCATGGCCATCTGTTTCTGGATGGTCAGAAGTTGACATCGTCAAACATGTTCCAAGTGAACGGAACACGGATTGCCAGAACTCCGCTGTGAAGCGGGGGTCTCTATCGGACACGACTTCGCGGGGTAACCCGTGAAGTCGGAAGATAGTATCGATGAAGATTCAAGCACAGCCCTGGGCTGTGATGGACTATGTTACAGCAACAAGATGTACTATCTTGCAAGCCGATCAACAAACACAAGAATACCAGATTTCATGTGAGCGTCTTTGGGAAACCTAAAGACGAAGTCCATCGATACGGACTGCCAGCACTCTGCGGAAATCGGTAGAGAATGCAAGGGTGAACGGGATGAAGGACTAGGCTTCACCCGTCGGCAAAATTCGCAAGCGCGAATGTATTTGAGCTCAAACTAACACTGGCGGGGCCAGTAGAAGTCAAGACTTACCGTGAGGTAAGTCTTTTATCTCCGGCGATGCCCACTTGTTGAGGCATCGTGACACTCATACATGATGCGCAGTCGCTAATCATTATGAGCGGGAACGACGACGCGGGGTGTGTCGACGTTGACTGCTGTATAGTACAGCAGTCCATCACGAACCGAATACCGCTCGGTTGAAGAGCGGTATTGAGACGTCAAGCTTTTCAAAGCTTGACTGCACGAATTAAACAAGTAATCCATCAATCGCAGAAGAGACTCATCTTCTGCGTATGCTCTCCGCACGCCGTCGAGTAGATTCGACGACGAACACTCACCGATAGTGTAGCAACAGTGGGATCACCCCTAATGTTGGGTTGAGCAGTCGGCTAAAAATCGGGCTGACGCGAAAGCGCATCAGCGACGACATAAAGTCTTCCGGTGTTATACTCGACGTTGAAGTTGTACTCCGCGAAGAAATGCAGCCACCTCGCCATTCGCTGCGAGAGGTGTGGACTGTTTACGGCCGTGTGTAATGACGCATGGTCGGTATGAACGATGAAGGGCCTATCTCCTAAAAGATATACCGAAACTTGGCCAGTGCATATTTCATGGCAAGGCGTTCCTTGTCACGCATTGAGTAGCTACTCTCAGCTGCTTGCAGCTGACGCGATTGATAACAGACAACGCGCTCAACGCCGTCTGAGTCGTACTGCATTAACGCGCAGCAAGTTGCAAAATCGCTGACTTCGCAGACCACTTGGAATGGCATATCCTGATCTGCAATCGCCAACACAGGCGATTGCACCGAGCTTTTCTTGATGCCTTCGAAAGAGTGCTGACACTCAGCACTCCATGACCACCTCTCGTTTTTCTCTCGCGGACGAGAGAGATCCAAGGCTATCTCTCTTAAGTTGCGCGAGTATTTTTGCAAGTACGCTGCCAAGCCAAGGAGCTTTCGAAGGCCCTTGACGTTGACTGGCACATGCCAGTCGCCAGTCGCCTTGATACTTTCCGGATCAGGGCGTACACACGATGCAGCCAAGAAGTGGCATTTCGTTCGTTGCGAATATACACTTCTTGAGGTTCGCGAACAACATATGCTCTCGCATTAGAGTTAGAACCTTCCGGACGTGGATCTATGAACCTCTACATCCGTCTTTCCGCCCAAAGCCTGGCAATGGACGAAGACATCGCTAAAGTAACTCGGTGCGAGAACGCGCACCGATCGCAACAGATTCATGACACATCTGTCAAACGTTGCGGTGGTGTTACTTAGCCCCTGTGGCATCACTAGCCATTCCCAAAGCATATCGCTGAGGCCGCTCACTTCTTTGTACGGGATGTCCCATTCACGCAGTATGATCTGATAGAATCCATCCATCAGATCCATGGACGAAAAAATGGTACTCTTTGCCATACCATCTATGATGACGTCCTTTCTTGGGATCGGCGTTTGAGCCGGTACCGTTGCAGTGTTCAACTTGTTAAATGCATGCACTACCCGCCACCCTCCTGTGGCCTTTCGCACACAGAAGGTCGGAGAGCTGTGTGGGGATGTTGATTCCCTCACATGACCAGCAGCTGAGCGATCGGTAAAGAACTTGTCGATCGCTAGTACTTGTTCACGTGGCAGTGGCCACTGCTCAATGACACAGTATTTCAAACCAGGTTTTAGTACGATCTCTTGCCGAGTGCCTTTGTCCTTGGGCATCTCGCATGGCACGGATTACGGGAAACATCTTTTAATTTAACCAAATCCTCCTACAAAAGATTTGTCTTCAAAGACTCATAAGATTGCGACGTGTATCGCTCAATACGGGTCTTCTCATCGAGTACACCCTCGTCAAACGATGAGCTACTGAGAACCCGTTCATTCTCAGCAAAAACTTGTGCCGACCGAATATCTGCGATGTATTCGTCCTCTGTGACGAGTACGTAGATCTGCTTGATCTTGTCACTACGCAGATCTCGCAAGAATCTTCTAAATTATAGCGTTGGCAACTTGACCACCTCCGAAGCTGAATTCGGGGGCATAACCAGATCAAGTTTATAAGCGCCTACACTTGATCAGTCATTCACGAAGACATTCATTGTCTCGGTGATTTCCTAAGAAAACACATCCGCAGGTGGCTGGGGATCTACACCCTCAACATAACTCTCTCGGGAGTTGTCACTCTCAGGAACGCTGGAACTTTCTTCCAATACGTGTACTGACTGTGTGTGCATTACCACAGTCGCGTCCTCTTCGATCGACTCTCTTTCAGTCGATCGGGCTTGCTCTACGATCGACTCTCTCATAGTGGATCTCGCTTCAACGTGTTGTCCATCCTGAACAACACTAATTTCTCTTCTCGGATGCACCCTTCTTGGTGTGCATCCGTGTTCCAGTTCACTCGATCTCTTCGAGTGGTGAGCCACCGGCGCAGCCTGTGTCTCTACACAGGTGCCGGAAGCTGTATTATCAGTGCAGTGGCCTTCTACACTGTGATCTTGTGCAATCGTATATAGAACGTACCACAAGTGAGGCCATCGCACTCACTCGTAGTGCAGCCACACGCTTGTGGACGATCCAAGACGCTCATCAGATGGCCATCCGATGAACAAACGGGAGGCATCAATACGGATCTATGCTGCCAGCTAACCCATAGCTGGTACTTTCTAAGCCATGGCAGACCAAGGATGACATCAAATTTGTCATCCGAATCTAGTGCGATATAGTCACCATCGTACTGCTTTCCTTCTAGCGTGTTGTGGATTCCCACTACACGTGTGTTCACTGTAACGGATGCGCCTGTAGCAAGGCACACCGTCATCCTCGCTGGAGGGAACTCTCGCTCAACATAGTTGAGCCTACTATTCCCCAGCGACTGGCGTCGAATAAAACTGTTCGAAGCACACAGTCAACTAGAGTGCGAAGTGACATTCCACTTGTCACTTCGATCTTCAAAGTGATGAGAGACTCCTCATCGCTAGGGGCAGTAGCACACAGAGACTGTGTGTTTTAAAGCAATCTTCGTCGAGAGTCCTGCATATTCTCTTGACGTTGCTGGATTAGCAGGGTGGTCCGCCCCTACTGACCCTGACCGTTTTTTGACGGTCCGACTTGCTGTCGCGGATTAGCGACGTGGTCGGACCCACGCCTCGGACCCTTCCTTGACTAACGGTGGTCATCACATCCTGTCTTTACACGTGTTGCAGTGCTTGGGACACTACAATCATGAGCGTAGTGTCCAATCTTCTGAAAGCGATGGCATCTTGCCGTTCGCTTGTGACTCAGAGAGCGAGAGCTCTAGCTCTTGATGTAACAGAGGTCCATTGGTTCGGGACCTCCTGTTTCCTGTCGCTTCGTCGGACGATAGTATGACGAGTTATCCTAAAACTCTCTCCGGCTTAAGTCTTCTT